AAAGCCTGGTCAGGGGGTTCAGGAAGTTTTTGAATTTTCACAACCTACAAGGCATAAAATTGCATTAGGAGACACATACAGAACAGAATTGTTACAGAGCATATTACAGTACACTGCAGGGAGTATATCTTGCACTGTCATTATCATAACCCTAGAATTAATAATCAATACAAAAATTTACTTACATTCTGCAAACAAAATTATTTTAATGTACACTTCCACACTGTCCCAAAGGCTAACCTTTATATAATATCAGATGTTCATTGTACAGGCAGTTTCAAATTTGTTTCCGGTAACTACAGTAGATATTTTATCATATTGAACAACTTTAGCGGCTTGTCCTGCTGCCAAGGCAAGTCTGTGGAGCCCCACAGTGATCAGACATCAGGAAAGGAAATGCTTTATTTGCTAAGCCAAAGGTTGCCCAAAGATCCTCCCTTGCGCGCACTATATAATATTCCTAACACCCTAGGAGCTAGGGCGCGATCGCGCGACATTAAATTTTTTTTATCGTTTTCAAAGGTCACCGAAAAAGGCAGCTCGCGACACCACCTTTCATGGTTATGTATATATGTATTATAAACAGAACTTCGTTGGCGAGAAGGGAAACAGTTAGTACCTACGTTTCTTACCACGTGAAACAGTCGCAGAGCCTGGGCCGGCTACTTCATCACACGTGCCTCAAGGCCACGACACGCGTAGCACACGCGGCATACATTTGATCACGCTCGCTCCGCGAATTGCTCGCTCTCTTTTGAATGAGATTAGCACGTAAGAAACAATTATTTTTTTCACATAGACACTTTGAAATTTTAGTGGCCCGATCGGGCCACCAAATTTTAACTTTTTGAAGTTTTGATGGCCTGACATCAAGTTTTGGTGGTCCCAGGCCTTGTATTATATATATTATATTGTACATTAGAGATATTAGAAATATAATAGGAATCATATATGGCACAGAATGATGCAATAGTAAACCAGTGTAAACAGTAAACTTTCTGCAATAATGCCATAACTGTATAAACAGGACATATGCACTACAATGCTATGAGCTTGGCTCCTAAGATTTTTACTTTATTAGGGGCCCAGGTGGCTACAACCTTTTTAGGCAAGTTTTCATCAGTCGTAGCTAATATATACATATACCTCCAGGGTTCTCCCCAGGATGAAATTCAAACAGGGGGGAGGGTTATTGGTTCGTTATGCGCGAGTACTCTCTGTTCACGCGTGACCCGTTGACCCTGCGTTCTTACTGGTGGGTCGTGGTCACGCCCTGTTTATGACCTATCCAATCGTGTACCGCTGGTCACGTTGACTCTTGTGGGTCACGCTGATTATCTCATATTATTATTAACGTTTCTGAATATTATTACCATTATTACCCTTTTACTAATACTTCTGTGTTACATGCTCTCTTGTAGACAAATGGTGTTCTATCTGCTTCTGAGAATGGTGAGTCCAGTGCCTCTTCCACTGACAAAAATGTTGGCAAGAAACCGTGGGAGCATCCAACGACGCCATCTGAAATGCGCCGAGAAGCATCTAACTGGACACTAGCAGCTGATGCTGGGGTAACTAATCTTGATGTAGTTACTCCTACTATTAGCTACATGAAAACACAACATGCAAATGACTAAAATCTGTTCATAGGTACGTGTATAGGTCTGTGATGTCATAACTCAAAGTTTGCAGGGTAGCAAAATTTTTACTGCTATAACTATGTAATAGAACATTTAAGAAATGCTACTGTGATTTCTTCATAGTCAAAATCATCAGTTTGGCATGATGAAGGTCATAAGCATTTATGCTTATTATATATTATCAAAAGCTAATAATACCTAGAGTGTACAATGGAAAAACGGGAAAATAGTGCTATTTCACGACAACATTATTCTACTTTGCCTGCGAGTCTAGAATAATTTTATGGTATTGCCTTAAGCAGAATTCTTTGCTCTCTAAAACAAGACCAACCGCTTGTCAATACGTTACTCCTAGGCTGAGATATTGGCTCCTAAACCTCCCCTCCCACATGCCTCACGCCGCCTCGCATCCCGGTTATTCAGCCACCTCCACGCCCCTAAGCATTGCTTCGTGAAAGTTCGGTTTTTCCGCAATAACTTTATGAATGAATGGCGTTTCGGTTATCATAGGTGACTTTCGGGGGCCCTTATCTCCTATTATCTTTTCTAGCACGGCTAATGCCCGTCATGATGGAGCCGGCAATGTTTTCTAAATTAAGTCTCTACAACGCAGCTCAGTTACTATATGGTGTAGTAAGAGTACCAAATTTGGGCATGTGCCATCAATTATCAGCGCTCCAAGTGGTGACGAAAACCGATAGCCAAAATGCTTAGGGGCGTGGAGGTGGCTGAATAACAGGGATGCGAGGCGGCGTGAGGCATGTGGGAGGGGAGGTTTAGGAGCCAATATCTCAGCCTAAGAGTATCGTATTGACAAGCGGTTGGTCTTGTTTTACAGAGCAAAGAATTCTGCTTAATGCAATACCATAAAATTATTCTAGACTCGCAGGCAAAGTAGAATAATGTTGTCGTGAAATAGCACTATTTTCCCGTTTTTCCGTTGTACACTCTAGGTATTATTAGCTCTTGGTGTTATGTTAAGCTGGGTTTACACTATCGACTTTATGCAGGCAACTAGGCTGTGTTTCTTCTTTCTACCAACTTCTCTAATCTCTATGTTTGTTAAAACGTCTCTAAATATCAAAAATTAGAATACTTGGAAATGTCT